GAGGGCAGCATGCTAGACGCTTCCGTCCTCGACTCGCTGCGTCTGCGCCGGCATGCGCAGGCGGCGGGGCGCCCAAGAGCGGCTTCCGAGTGCTGGAGCGCACAGGCGCGCTCGTGCCGCAGGTGTGCACCACCGCACAGCCCACGGCCCGGCAGTGCACTGCAGCCTCCTGCTTGTGTGCAAAGCCAGCACGCACATGCGCCGCGTGGGCCACCTCGTTGCCTGCCTGCTGTCGGGTTGCGCAGGGCCTGCTGGTGAAGACTGCAAAGTATGGCTGGCGCACCGCCTGGCAGACCTTGATGACGGAGCTGGCGCCTCAGTCCAAGGACGGCACCTACCAGCGCCCCTCCTACAGCTTCCAGGGCAGGGTGGGCAGCCCCGAGTTCCCGCTGGAGCCGGGCAGGTACCACCTGTATGTGGGGAACGCCTGCCCCTGGTGCCACCGCGTGCTGCTGGCGCTGGTGGTGAGCGGGCTGGAAGGGCACATCAGGTGGGTGGCTGGGGTGCCTGCGGTGTGTGGTGCCCATGGTGTGTATGCTGTGTGGCGTGACGCAGCATGTGCTGGTGCCAGAGGTATACAGTTGGGGGTGGATGGCGGCCTTGCGGAAGGGGCTGCAAGCGAGCCTGCATCTTCCTAGTCCGCCGCCCCGTTGCATCTTGTGCCTGCCCGGGGCTGTGAGCCCAAGGCCTTTGCCTGGCATCCCCCGCCTGCAGCTTCCCTGTTTTATCTTGTGCCTGCCTGGCAACCCCCGCCTGCAGCTTCTCGCGGGCGGTTGACGACCCTGAGCGTGCCAGCCGCGGCGGGTGGGTGTTTGACGGCAAGGACCCCGTGTTTGGGTGCCGCGACCTCAGGTGTGTGGGGCCCAGCCTGCGGGCCAGGCTGGGGTAGCGGCGGCTGTGGTGGTTGTCATTCACGTGCTGTCAAGTGGACTGCATTACCATGCCCAGCTGGTTGCTTGCTGGCGTTGCACGCGCGCGCAGGGCCTGACCACTTCCCACTGCCCTCCCGCTCCTCCCCTCGCTCTGCCGGCGTGCCAAGCAGGGAGGTGTATGACCTGCTGAGCCCCGGCTTCTCCGGCCGCTGCACCGCGCCGCTGCTGGTGGACCGCAAGGCGCGGAGGGCGATGTGCAACGAGAGCGCCTTCATCGCCCGCAACTTTGCTGAGCTGGCGATGCCACCTGGCGCGCCACCCGGCGCGGGGAGCGGGGCAGCCGGCGGCGGCGGCGGGGCAGCCAGCGGTGGCGGAGGAGGAGCGGTTGACTTGTACCCGCAGGCGCTGCGGGGCGAGATAGACCGCTGGAACGATAAAATCTATGACACAGGTGTGTCGTGGTGCCTTTCTTCATGTGCCACCTGCCCACTCATTCCTGGGCAGTGGCCTGCTGCTCCAGCCGTCACTGCACAGCGCCAGGCCAGCTGCCTGCCGCCCTGCCACCTGCCACCCTCTGCAATGTGCCCCTCGGATGCGCCCGTGGCCCCCTGCTGCCGGTGCCTGGCCCTGGTCGCTCCACTGGCTGCCCTCTTCCCACCTCGCCCTCCTGGCGCATCCTCTGCCACAGTCAACAACGGCGTGTACAAATGCGGCTTCAGCACCAGCCAGGCGGGGTTCACCCGGGCTGAGGCCGCGCTGTTTGAGACGCTGGCTGAGCTGGAGGCGGTGCTGAGGTGGGCCTGGGGCGGGGGCCGGCAGGCTGGGCCAGCGGGCTTGGTGCAGGCCGCCGGCCGCCTGGCTGGCTCTCATGCGGCTGCCCGCGTGCGCCTGCTCCCCCGCCTGGCCCTCCCTGCCCCTGTCCCATTGCAGCCGGCAGCGCTTTGTGTGCGGGGATCGCTTCACGGAGGCTGACCTCCGCCTGTTCCCCACCATCGTCCGCTTTGATGCCGTGTACGCCACTCTGGTGAGCCGCACCCCTCCTTGCCTGCCGGCCCTGCCCACTCAAACCAGGCTTTTATCCCTTGGAACGCCAGACTGACGCGTGCGCCCTTGTGGCTGCATCGCAGTTCAAGTGCTGCCGGCGGCGCGTGGCCGACCACCCGCACCTGCAAGCCTGGCTGCGTGACGTGCAGCAGCTGGAGCTGCCGGGGAGCCGCATGCAGATCAGGGTGGGTCCTTGGCATGCAGGGACGCCAGCAGCGTCTCTGTGAGCGGGCCGAGGAGGCACTTGCGATTGCCAGCCTGCCGGCAGCCCAAATGCATGCTTGCATGCCAACGCCAATGCCCCCGCTGCTGCCTCCTCGTGCAGGACTGCTTCGACTTGGATGATGCGCGGCGCTCCTACTTCCAGCAGCTGTTCCCGCTCAACCCCGGCGGCATCGTGCCCAGCGGGCCCACGGCGGCAGACCTGGGCTTGGATGTGCCGGCAGGGCGGGGCTCGGGGCGACTGGAGGATGCTTTCTGGCAGAAAGCTTGAGCCTTTCAGCTGCCGCACAGCCCTGTAGCACTGCTGCTGCAAGAACGGGAGTTCTGACAAAGAGGGACCTTATACGTGCTGAGCATGCTGCTGCTGGTGGCACGCCGCCGCCACATAGGGAGGCGCCCCGCCAGTCCAGACACTCTCTCCCAGCCAGTCAGCCGTCCCCCGCCCGGTGCCCACCGCCTTCCAGCAGCAGCATCATGCAACAGCAGCAGTCGCAGAATCAGCCCCCAAGTCTGCCCATGGTCCACCAGCACTGGAACCGGGCGGGCAAGCAGGTGTGGTGCTCCGCCGGCACCACGGCCTCCTCCCACGAGTGCTATCAAGGCGTTAACGAACTATCCCAACGCGGCCTACAACAATGCTAGATGCGAGCCTGTGAGCAGCAACCACAGGTGTTGCGCGGAGCGCAGGCAAGTGGTGGGGACTGGTGGGGTCGGCCTGGGCCCGCATGCCGGACGGAGGAGTCGGGGGCCGTCCCCTGAGCTTCCTACGACGTCGCCGCCGCCGCCGCGGGCCCGCAGCTGGCTTGCGAGGGTCCCCGCCACTGGCGCTGCGTCTCAATTTCTGGCTCTGACAATGCAACCAGCATTGAACCTTTGCTTCGATGCACCCCCAGGGGCGAGAGGCTGGCTGCCAATCGTACCCCACCCACCCTGACCGCCCACCTTCCGCCACCTCCACCCTGCCTTGCGCGCAACTCACCCCCCACCCCTGCCCACTCACCCGCCGCCGCCCACCGCAGGCTGCTCGACACCTGGGTTGCTGCCGCGCGGCGGCACGGCGTGCCTCACCACAAGGTGGTGCCCTGGGTGCGGCGCAAGCTGGGACCCGCCGTGGTGGTGCTGCGCTTCCGCGGCGACGGCCAGCTGGGCTGCTCCGTGCCCTGCGTGCTGTGCCAGCGCGAGCTGCAGCGCTTTGACCTCTCCGTGCACTGCTACCTGGGCGGCGACGGCGCCCCCGGCGAGCGGCAGTGGTTCCGGGGGCGGCTGAGCGATGTGGGGGCACCCACGCCCGTGCTGACGGCGGGGCAGCGCCGCACCCTCAACCTGGAGCCGTCCCCCAGCCAGCCCAAGAAGCCCCGTGACAGCCACCCGCCCGCCCTGAAGAACGGCGGCAGGAAGAAGAAGAAGCAGCCTGCGCCTAGCTGACGCGGGCAAGCCCGGCTCCAAGCCTGCCTCCGAGGCCCCCACCCCGTGCCTCACCATTGCACCCGTCTGGTGTGCACATTGTTGTGTCCAGTACTTTGCCTCGCTACGCCCCTACCCGCCACCCCTCCCAGCTTTTGCAGTTCTAGCGCCTGGCCCCCTTTGTGCCAACCCCATTCTTCAGCCCTCCACTGCCCCTGGCAATCCCCCGCAGCCTCCCTTCAGTCTGTACGACGCGCTGCTGTAAATCAAGCCGCTCAAGGAGCAGGAGGCAGCTTGCCAACACAGCTGTGTTACTGGTGGCGGGGATGAGCACGAGGGGAGGGGCAGCGCGGCTGTGACAACAATCAAAATGAAATTGGAGGGGCGCTTGCCATGCAAACGAAGGAGAAGCAAGGTGGGAGACGGAGGCAGGATGTGCCTGGCCAGGCCGCTGCAGCGGCCGCTGGCGCCAGCCAGGCCCGCTGCCTGGCGGGCCACAGAGCGAGGCGATCCTCGAGCCGCAGCTCGGGCTGCCGCCCTATATGCAGCGGAAGCGGCAGCCAGCCTGGCAGCTGCGCGGGGGCGCCTGCCGCGCTCACTTGATGTATTGGGACACCCAGCGGAAGCCCTCGCCTGCATGGCACAGCACAGCCCGCTGGTCAGTCACCACCAGCCATGCAAGCGCTGGCGCCTGCAGGCCGCCGCCTCACCGCCGCCGCCACGCTGCGCATAGCATGCGTGCACCGCGCCGCACCACGCCGTTCCACGCCCCCTGGCCGCCGCCGCGCGCCGCTGCCCGCTCACCGTATCCCATGCGCCGCACCACGGAGCACATGAAGATCTCCACCGGCCTGATGCCGCTCTCCTTGAGGTCCACCTTGCCCTTGCCAGTCGTCATGTTGGCCAGGCCCAGCCCGTAGCGCAGCTCGTCCTCTGCAGCCAGCGGGGCACAGCGGGGCACAGCGGTGAGCGGGCGGCAGCGGGGCCACAGCGGAGGCACAGGCTGGGCGAAGCGTCACCCCTGCACAAAGCCCCGCAGCGCGCAGAGCATCCACCGCATCCACCGCTGGCGCAGCGCAGGGCACACCGCGCCGCGGGCAGGCTACGCAGCAGGCCGGCTGCGGTGAGCCCGCCGCCGCCCTGCTGCTTCTGCGAGTGCCCGGCCCCCGTGCTGCCGCTGCCGCCGCTGCCGTCGCTGGCCCGCCGCTGCCCCGGCACGCACCCGAGGCTGCCGAGGGGATGTCGATCTTGTTGCCCAGAATGAGGAAAGGAACGTCAGACAGGCCGTCGTCGCTGAGCAGCGAGTCCAGCTCCTTCTTGCTCTCCGTGAACCGCTCGCGGTCGGCCGCGTCGACTAGGAACACAATGGCGTCCACCTGGGCGGCACGGCGCGCAAGGAGGGGCGGCGTGGGGTGGGGCGGGGCGGGTGGCTGGGGGGGAGGGCTGGGGGGGGAGGGCTGGGGGCATGGGCAAGGCGGGGAGCGATGGAGATGTGTGCAGGGCTGCATGGAGGCTGTCCGGCCGGGCAAGCCCCTGCCGGCCCGACTGACGCCGGACGCGGCTGGGTTGCCCAGCTGGAAGCGAGCATTGCGGGGAGCGCAGCAGCCTGCCAACAAGCACGCCTGCAGCAGCCGGCTGCCCCACCAATGGGCTCCAGCCCCACACCAGGCCGGCCGCTCCCCGGCCTCCTCCCTCCCATCAGGCTCGCCTTGGCATAATAGTCCTTCCACACCCGCCTCGCAATCTCGTGGCCGCCAAGGTCAAAGGCCTTGAAGTTGATGCCCGCCATTTGCAGCTCCTGCGCCAGCAGCACACAGCTCAACAGCGGGCAGCGCAGCCAGGCGAGGCGACGGGGGCTGGCTGCAGGGCTTGTCGGCTGCTCAGCTGCAGGCTGCTCCGCGCTGGCAACACCTGCTCTGCATGGCGCTGTGTGGCAGCATGGCGCATCACGCGGGCTGCTCCCGCCCTGCGCTCCCATGCCCTGTGTGCAAGCTGGCAGTGGCAGGCGCCGCCGCCGCCGCGCACACCTCTGACGTGGGGTACTGCGTGGGCTGGTGCTGCGCAAGGCGCTCGTCTTTGAGCATGTGCATCAACGTCGTCTTGCCCGCATTGTCCAACCCAAGGAACAGGATCTTGGCATTCTTGTTGGCTGCGCACAGGCGCAGGCCGGAGCGAGCGGCAGCAGGGCGGTCAGAACCAGCGGTGGCGGCGGCGGCTGCAGGCCTGCAGGGTACGGCCTGCGGCGGGGCGGCCTGCAGGGCCCGCTGCTCACCTAGTCCAAGCGAGTTGAGTATGCTCTGGAACCTGCAGGCGACCGGCCACGAGCAGGCAGACGGGGGTGGGTGCACTGCGGGCCTCTGCACACGCGATCAGTGCTCCCAGGCCGCCAGGCTGGTATGCTGCTGCCTCCCAGACGTGCGCCGCCACAGTGCGGCTGGGAAGGCAGGGGGATGCAGGGCGGGGGCGCGGATGACCGCGTGCGCCTACCAATTCCAAATGAACATCGTGCCCCGGGTTCCTGCTGCTGCTGCCAAGTTGTCTGGGGAGCGCCCCAGCCGCAAAGGTGCCGCCCCGAGGCTTCTTCAAGTTTCTCGCTGCCAATAGAAGCCTGCCCCGCAGCAGTGCACCAGCTGATTGGGCTGCAGATCGGAAAGGGCGGAGCCAGGGTGCTGCGAGGAGGAAACAGCGGAGGCTGCCAGGCGGGCGGGCTGGTGGCAAGGCGCCAGCGGACGTGCTTTGACCGCCCACGAGGGCCTGGCGAGCCTCCCCATTGGCAGGTGGACTGCCAATGGGAGCGGCGGCTCAGGTATATAGAGCAAGGGGGATCACCACCGCCCGCTTCGGCATGCCCACCTGCCAGCTCCCAATGCCACCACGCTGCCGACACTCGCCCAGCTGCATTTGCCCATGGTGGCCCGCATGTGCCCCACTCTGACCAGCGTTCCTGTGATGTTGTTACAGTTAGTTTTTTTGGGGGCGTTTTGTGTTTTTTGGAAAGCATTACACGCATCAGAATGCAAAGTCACAGCGATGCAGCTGGCGAGCCAGCGGCAGGCGTGCGTATGTGGAAAAGCAAGAGGGGGCATGGCGCAAACAATCATTTGCGGGACTGGCGACACCGGCACTGGGGGGTCAATGCAGAGGGTTGAGTTGTAAAGGGTTGAGGGCGCCAGCAACGTCGCTAAAAAGCAGACGGTTGGAGGCTGGGTTGTGATGCTGAGGGCAATACAAGCGCTGAAGGGTGCAAGGGTGCGGTCGTGCTGTGGGGTGGTGCCAGCAAGGGTGGGGGCCGCTGGCCAGCCCCACCGGGGCTCGAGGCGCGTGGCCGGCGTCACAGCCGGCAGTGGGGCTGCGCCGACGGGCGCGTCACCACAGCCTCGATGTTGCCGTGCGGCTCTGACGTTGCCACATACACGTCGTCGTCAAAGCGGGAGGTGACGGGCGCCACGGGGAGGAAGTGCAGGTTGGGCATGTTGAGGAACACGCTGTCCACCTCGGACACTCTGCAGGGCAGGAGGGAAAGCAGGAGGGAAAGCGTGGGAGGCAGGGGGCGGCGGGTCAGCAAGCAGGCGCATGGGCTGGGTGGCGGGCAGGGGCGCATGGTGCGGAGGCCGGCGTGCTCACTTGGCGATGGCTCCCTGCGCCATGCGGTACAGCGTGTACTGCACCGAGGGGCTGTACACGCCGCCCTTGACGGGCCCGAAGAAGGCAGAGCAGAAGGCCTGCCTGACCGCGTCAAAGGCGGCGTTGTAGCAAGGCGGCGCGCGGGAGTACCTGCGGCGGGAGCGCGGCGCGGGCGAGGCAGGGTCAGGGGTGCGGCGGCGGGGAGGAACAGCTGGAGCGCCATGGTGTGCCCACAGGCGCACGCACAGGCAGGGTGCACCACCTGAGCAAGCAAGCACGCATGCAAGCAAGCAGGCCAGAGCAGGGGTGCTGCAGGGGCTCACTTCCAGGTGGCGGTGACGGAGGTGGCCACGATGCGGTCGGTCACGTCTGGCAGCGTGGTGAACTTGTCGTGCAGGAAGCCGACGTAGCCGCTCTGCGTGGTCTTCAGCACCTGCAGACGCAGGAGCAGGGAAGGGAGGGGCAGCAGGGTGAGGGCTGAGAGGGCAGAGGCACGGGGAAGGGAGGCGGGGGCCCTGGCGGGGCGGGGCAGGGCGCAGGCCGGGGTGGCGAGCGGAGCGACATGGGAGGCGCGGCGCGGCGGGACGAGGCGCAAGGAGAGGCGGCGGCAGAGGAGAGGAGCCGGCAGGGCGGCGTGCCGGCGCGGCTTGCCTTGAGGTTCTTCAGCCCGCCCGTGACCTCCGTCTTGCCCTGGTTGTCGTGCGTGACGTAGGCGGTGCGCAGCTCCTCGCCCAGCGCCGTGTAGCCGTGGTCGTGCGGCTGGCCGCCCAGGTCCAGCCGCTTCCAGGGCATCATCTCCACTGCGGGTGGGAGCAGGGGGCAGGTCGGAGGCAGGCAAGGTGGCGGGCGCAGGCGAGGCAGGCAGGCAGCCCCAGCCGGAGCGGCAGGCGGCCAGGAGCGAGCGGAGCAGGGCGTGTCGCGCGCGTCAGGCTCGAGCCAGAAACGTGTACAACGCTGTCCACGGGAGCCAGCAGCAGCGCGGCATGCTCACCCATGACCTTGGACTTCCACACCAGCGGGTAGTTCTGCACAAAGTGCTTGGCCAGCGCCACGCCGAACTCCTCGGGGGAGCACGGTGACGCAAACTGCGGGGCGGGCGACAGGCACAGGGGCGGGGGGGTCAGATTGGGTGCCGAGCGCGGGCCGCAGGGCCGGCGGCTGGCGTGACGGCGCAACCGCGCAGGCTGGGGGCCGCGCGGGCCGTCCATGGCCTCCAGCCGGCGTGCGTTGGCAAGGGGGGAGGCCGCGCCGCGCTGGCTTCCGGCTGGCTGCCCGCGCAGCCCCAGTGGCGGCCCCACCTGCTTGGCGACGTAATACACGGCGTTCTTCTGGGTGTCTGTGGAGGTCATGCCCCGGTTGGACTCTGTGTAGTAGGCGTGGGCCATGTCGGACTCCAGCATGGAGTACACATTGTATTCAACAAAGTGGTGCACTGTGGATAGCAGCGTTTTGGCAGGGAGCGGCTGAGACTGCGGCGAGGGTGGCACGAGGGCGCAGCGCGGTGGGCGGGAGTGGCGGCAGCTCCAGGCGCGGCGGGTTTAGTGGCGGTCCGTGAGGGCAAGGGGTGGGTGGGCCAGCAAGTGGCGCGGCGCGCGGGCGGGGGCGCCGCAGGCGGCTCCACCGCTGCCCGCGGCCGTCGGCGTCAACCCCCGCGAGGGCGGCCGCAACTCCAGGACTCACCGCTCCCCTGCCGCCACACTCGCGCCACCCGCACCCTCGATTTGCCGTGCTGGTGCAGCACCAGCTCGGCACCCTTCCCGTGAGTCATCGCGGCCAGCCCTCACGCTCTCAAGCAGTAGTTTCCCTGGCAGGCAGCCCCCCAAGCTGCATGTAAGGCAGGCACGCTGAAGAACTAAAGTTGGTGGGATCGATGGGTTAGGAAATCGGCCATTTCTTCTGGCGGCGCCCAACGGGTGGAAACCTGGCCTTCGATGGGCCACCTGGCAATCAGCCCGCGCCCCTTTCCATATCCATCGCTCAGATGGCGGGTTTGGGGTGGCCACGGCGCTGAGTGCAGCCCCTGGAGCCTGGTTTGCCGCTGCCGCCGGCCTAGGGTAAGCGGCGGCACCCCTGCTGCCGCCCCGCTGCTGGAGGCTGCATGTCTGGAGAGAAAAACACGTGATGGGCCGCGGATTTGGGGAAGAGGCAGACATCTGGCAGGACGCATTTGACTCAAGGGAACGGCGGGCAGCCACGCAAGGCGGCCGCAAGTCTGCACCGCTGCTCCGCTGACGGGCCCGACCGGCTGGCTAGCGGTCGTTACACGGCCGCGCACCAGCAGCCCCCAAGAGCGGGATTGCCAGCGACACGCAGGAGCCGTCTGCATGCCAGGTCAGCGGCCCAGCCGCAAACTGCGGCATCCAGGCGCGCCGCATGTGCCGGCTGCGGTTGGGCCCGCTGCAGTGCAGCACCACGTCGCTCATCACAACGGCGGTGCCAGCCGCCACCTCCAGCGGCACGCCGCGCTGCTGCCGCTGCTCCTGCCGGCCCGCCTGCTGCTCCTCAGCCACCGCTGCCGCCGCCGCCGCCATCGAGTCGGTTGCTCCCTGGGGGCCGGGCGCCGCCGCGAGATGGCTGCCAGGCTGCACCACGAGGCCGCCATTGCTCGCCGACATGTCATCCAGAGCGCACCAGACTGCAGCAGGGGGCTAGCGCAGGGGCCAACCTGAGGGTCTCTCCCGGCCCGGCATGAATGGTCAGCGGAGGCAGCCTTCTTCCTCCCTCCAAAAGCAAACACCTGGCTCCACCTACCTGACAGGTAGGGCCGATAGCACACATCCTCGGTTTGGCACCAGTCTGAGTCGCGGTGCCACTGGAAGGCCGCCAGGCTGGTGCCAGGCGGCTTGAGGATGTACTGCGGAGGAAAGGGGGCGGGTCAGGGGGGTGGCCGGTAGGCAGGGGGGCAAGCAGGACAGCCGCATTCCACCATCCAATCAGGAGCAAGGGTTGCCTCACTGTGTAGCGGCACAACTTGGCGACCACTGGTCAGGTGCCGCCCCGACAGCTGCCTGAGCCCTCTCAGCCCGCACCTGGTCGTTGAACAGATGGGCGGCGTGGCCCAGCAGCGCACACACCACCCGACTGAGCTGCGACTGAAACAGGATGCGCCAGACCGCGGGCCGCAGCGGCCAGCGACCGCGGCGCGCCTGGTACGCTTCGTAGCCGGTGCGGAGCTCAGGCGTGCAGCAGGGTCCGGGGATGCTCTCGTAAATGCAGCTTGCGACAGCCTCCTGCCCCCACGTGCTACCACCGAAAGCAGCCGCCGCGGAGGCGCCCCGCTGCTGCTGCTCCTCAGCTAGCTCATACAGCGTGTCGGCCTCCTGCAGCAGAAGCAGCGGCAGCAGCAGCAAATTGTCTGAAGGTGGGCAACGTGCACTGATGCCGCCGCCCGCCGCCAATCCTGCATGTGTGTCATGCCCTCACCAGCCTCAGCTCCTCGAGCTGATCCTCGGTCAGAAAACCCTCCAGCACGGCATACCCCTGCTCCCCGAGCTGGTGGGCGCAGGTGGCCGCCAGGACTTCAATCTGATCGGCCGTGTGCTGCATTCCTAGCTTATCTGCAGCGCTCTGATTGAACCATCTCTCTTACCTCTCCAGCATGACAGCCGCTGCACGCATCGCCGCTAATACAGTGTTGCAAACCACGCGCAGCACGATAGGATACATTGTCGACAAAGACGATGAGAGCTGCCGCAACCGCCAGTAATCCAAGCCTTGCTGCACATTTAAGTGCCATGTCGAACGCCCATGCCAGCAGAGTCGCAGCAGCAACACACACCACGCGGCCTCTGGGCTGCAGCAGAGCGAGATGCAGCGGCAGAGGAGTAGTGCAGCAGCAGCAGCAGCACCTGTGGCGGCAGCAGACCTGCCGCCCAGCCACCGCCGCCCACGCGGCCCGCAGAGTGGCGGCAGAAGCGATACGGGGTGTGGAGGCCTTTGATGGAGCCTTTGAGCTGGATGACAAGCAGCAGGGCACCCTCAATGAGCTGCTGCACAGCGAGATGTTCTGCCAGCAGGTGCGGGCCCTGCTGCTGGGCACAACTTGCTGCTGCATCCACTGCCGTGTGGGGCCCTGCCCCTTCCTGCTCCTGGACTCGTTATGTAGCACCATGCATGGGACGCCAGGCGGCAGGCTGCACGGCAAGGAACAGTCGGTACGGGGAACACACGATACTCACAGAAGCCTTGACTGCGCCTGCACGCAGGTGGTGAGGGAGTGCAAGCTGCCCGAGGGCGCCGAGGTGGAGTGGACGGGCGTGCTGTTCCAGCCGGTGCCCTGGAGCGTGACCAGCAAGAAGGGCATGCCCCCCCACATCGAGGAGCGCTACCATGGCAAGGTGCGGGGCGGGGTGTCCGGCGCATGAGATACGTCATGGACCCAGTGCGTTGCTGACCAGAACCATCGACTGCCCATGCAAGTCCGATCATATGCACACCCGCCGCAATGCTGGAGCGCTGATACATGTGTGTGTGTATTTGTGTGCAGGAGGAGTATGTGATCATCAACGTGCCGCCTGTGTTCATGTTCCAGGCCAAGGTCTTCCAGCCGCCCAGGCTGTGCGCCATTTACCGGCGCACAGATGACAGCAAGCGAAGCGAGCCATGAAGCGAAACGCTGCCCTCTGCTGTACCTTTGTCTAGCAAATGAATAATCAGTGTTGGGAGATGAACCAATAAACTCTGCCTGCAATCGGCTACCTACGAATGAAATGGAGTGATGTAATGTAAGACTCGATGGCACTGCCTCAAACGACCAGCTACCGCTTCTTGCCCTTGCCGCCGCCCTTGCTGGCGCCATCTTTGGCAGCAATGTAGCCGCAGGCATCCAGCAGCTCGCGGGCCGCATTGTTGATGTGGGTGAAGCGAGCTGGGCCCAGAAGGATGCCGCCAAACCTAGACATAGCAGGCATGGTGGGTGCCAGTCCAACACTTAGTGGTTCCGGGGAAAGCAGGCGCACCCCGCAGCCCACTGCAATGCAACGCACTGATCCCAGCAGCAAGGGGCGCACCATCTGCTGACCACCACACACACGTTGCGCGCATTGGTCATTTGCAGCAGGTGCAGCAGGCGGCTGCCCGCCGCCGTCTCGCCGTCGTCGTCATAGTCCTGTGTAGGTGTCACGGGGAGGCAGTCAGGAGGGAGTATGTGCATGCATGCATGCGTGTGTAGGGGAGGTGAGGTGCAGGCCACGGTGCAGGGCCCGACAGGCCGACAGGCCCCTGGCTGAGGCCCTGCCCAGCTCGCTTGCCCAGCCCACACGCCCACCAGCAGGCCTGCCTCCCACCCCGCTGCCAGCACATCTCCTGAAGGGCCGGCACGCGCCCACCTGCAGGAAGGTGCCTTGGGCGCCCTGCTCTATTCGGTAGGCCATGATGGTGGGGTGCGCGGCCGCCCGGATCTTGTTGTTCTTCAGCAGCAGCTCCACCAGCGCCTCCACATGCCGCAGGCTGCGCGCCGGCGCCAGGTGCGCCTGCACGTGGGTGTGCGATGATGTGAGGTGTGGTGGTGTGCATCGGTCGCCAGCAGCAGGGGCTGACGGCAGGCCGGGCGAGGCGCAAGTGGTGGGCCGCTACACTGCGCAGCGCAGCGCAGCATGAGCCAGGCAGTACCGAGAGCACAGTGGCAGCACCCGGTGCAGCACCCGCCTGGAAGGTGGACCGCTTCTCTGTGAAAGGCACGCCATGCACCACAGTCTGCACAACCTCTGCCATCGCCGCTTCCAGCTCGGCATCCCCCTCAGCCTCTTGCCCTGGAACCTGCTGGTCGCCGCCACCGCCGCCGGCTCCCAGCAGCAGCTCTGCCGCCTGAAGCTCCGCTGCCAAAGCAGAGTCGGCATCCTGTGCTTCCGTCGCTGCTGCCGCATCCTCTGGACCGTCGGCAGGCTGCTGGGGCGGTGCCAGGGAGGCCCACTGCTCCCGCAGGTGCTCGATCCAAGTCCACAACACCACCTCGCCTGAAGCGAGGGCAGGGCACCGAATCAGCAGCGAGGCAGCAAGCAGAACAGCTTCTTATGAACGAACGAGTGCCCAACAGCAGGAGCCAGTCTGCCTGCCCTCACCTGGGCAGAACATGGCTTCCAGCTCGCTGGCCAGGCCGCTCAGCACATCCGCAGGGAGGCAGTTGCAGCTGTCGCTGAGCTCGAACACTGGCGGCAGCTCAGACGGGTATGCTGCCGGCAGGTGCACCCGCAGCACGAGGTGCGGCTGCGCCGCGGCCTCCGGGATGGCAAAGCTGAGAGAGGCATCCAGCTCTGTCACAAATGCATCGCCATAGATGGCTCGCAGCGCACACAGCTCATCCTCCTGCTGCTGCTTGTCCTCTGCGGGCAGTGAGCGGCGACGGCAGCGGGGGCTGGGTCGGCAAGTGCGGCCGCTGGGTCGGCAAGTGCGGCGCTGCCCTGGCTAGCATTACATGCTGCTGCTGCTCCTTCCCTTCTCGTCCTCACCGTCCATTCCCACATGCCAAAGACTGGCGAGGCTGCGCAGCAGGGCTCGACCGCAATCTGTGATATCGTTGATGAACTGCAACAATGAACAGAGATGTTCTGCTGCTGGCTTGGCAAGGAAAGCGGAAGGCGCGGCCCCATGTGTCCCGCCCGCCGCCTCTGGCAGGCCCCATTCAGCGTTGCAAGCGATCCCATTGCTTGAGGGATTGTGCCGATACGCTGCTAGGCGAGGGGCGAGCCAATCGGGGAGCCCTGCACACGAGTCAATAGTGTGGAGGCGCTATGAGCTGCGTGAAAGGCTGAGGGGTCTGAGCAGCATGGCCGACGCGGTGGATCGCATGAGGCCCAAGGAACTCTGGGGCGACCCAGCGGCGGCGGCGCTAGCGCTCGACGCCGCCACCCGCCACCCGCCCGCCGCCTTCCCTGCCACGCTGGACGTAGCGGCCTGCCTGGCTCTGCTGCAGCGCTGCGAGCGGCTGCTGAGGGCCGAGCCTACGGTGCTGGAGGTGAGATGGCCAGGTTTGCGCCGGAACGTGGGCAGACAAAACGTGGTGCCACCGCAGCACCCAGGCGTGCCCTTTATCAGTGCTGAAGTGCTGCGCCCCCCTTTTCTGCCCTGCCCATGCAGATCGACCCAGGGGGTGCCGAGGTGGTGGTCGTGGGCGACATCCACGGACAGTTCCACGACCTGCTAACCATGTGGGTGCTGACGGTGGCTGCCCGCTGACGCCAACTCGCTTCAAGTAGCTGTGGTCTGTCTGGCTCAGCTAAGCCCTGGTGGGATCCGTGTGTGTTGAGCAGCGCTGGGCTCCCCTGCTGCGGTGGCGCAGGTTCAGCACTGCGGGGCACCCCGGACCCGGCCGCCTGTTTGTGTTTGACGGCGATCTCGTTGATCGAGGGGCGTGGGGGCTGGAGGTGCTGCTGCTGGTGGCGGCGTGGAAGGTGGCGGCGCCGGCGCACGTGTTCCTGGTGCGCCTGCTGCGGCTGCATGCGGCTGGATCCGCGGCTCGGGGGTGGTTGCAGTGCAGCACTGCTCTGCACCTGAGCCTGTGCCATGTGCAGCCCTGAGTTATCGCCGTGGTGGTGAGTGTGCCTGGCCCCCGCCGCCCATCTGCCGCCGGCAGGTGCGTGGCAACCACGAGACCACCTTCTGCAGCTGGGTGTACGGCTTTAGAAATGAGGTGCTGGCCAAGTATGGGGCCGGACGCGAGGGCCAGGTGGGGATTTGCGCAGCTGGGGAACACCGCACGCGGGCAGGCAGGCAGTGCCAGGATCTGCGCAGGTGCATGCATGTGCTGCTCAAGCAGCTCTGCCTCTCTGACCGCCGCTTCTTCGCGCAGTCGGCGTTTGCGGCATGCCAGCGGCTGTTCGCGCAGCTGCCGCTGGCGGCGGTGGTCGCGGGGCGCGCGCTGGTGGTGCACGGCGGCCTGGCCAGGGCGCCTCCGCGGCGTGTCACGCGGCGCAGCCTGCCTGAAGGTGTGGCTACTGCCAGGCTGGCAGGTGCATGCCACAGCCTAGATGGGAGTTTCCCCCGGTGCCGAAACGCACCACTGCTTCCTGGGGCTGCCACCTGAACATCCCAGGCGCCTGCTGCTCCTCGCTGACCCTTGCCGCCTGCGTGCCCTCGTGCCTGCCCGCTCGCCCCCTACCGACAGGCAAGGCGCAGGTCACGGTGGCCAGCCTGGCGGAGATGCGCGCCTCCCACAAGGGCGGCGACGACCCCGAGCCCCAGCAGGCCGACCAGCGCCTGCCAGCGGACGTGCTGTGGAGCGACCCCGGGCGGGAGCCGGGGGTCCAGCTGGGCGCGCGGCCGGGGGATGTGGGCATCGTGTTTGGGCCTGACGTGACCGAGGTGGGTGCTGCGCTGGCGGGGCCCCACCACGTGGGCGGCGGTTGCGCGGCAGGCCTGTGGGTGGGCATCGCTGGGTGGACGCTGGTGCTGCTGGGGTGCCCATCCAGCTCCCCCAGCTTGCAGCACATCACGGCATGTCCCGGCCCGGCAGCCCGAAGCTGTTGCAATGGGTGGGCGCCCCAGCTGGCCCAGTGCCCCGCCCTGCGCTTTCCTCCCGGGTGCCTGCAGGCCTTCCTGCGAGACAACGGCCTGCGACTCATCCTGCGCGGCCACGAGGGTGCGCTGCCCCTGCCCACAGCCCCCCGCCCTGCAGCCTTTCTGGCCCGCAGCTACTGGCTGAGGGGTGGGAGCAGCCGCGAGGCCGCTGCCGCCATGCCCCATGCCCGCCACACCTCCACCTCGCCATGATGTGCTGAACCGGCTCCCGCTGCGCACGCTGCGCCACGCTGTGCAGGCCCCGACGCGCGCGCGCTGCGCCCCGAGATGCCGGCCATGGACCGGGGCTGGACGCTGGACCACGACACCCCCAGTGAGCGCCGGCAGCGCCAGCCAGCGGCGCCAGGCTGTATGGTCTGGTCTTGTGCACCATGTGGGCGCAGAGGCTGTGGCGGGCAGCCTAGCATATCCACGCCTCATGCCGCCTTCCTGCCTCCTGGGTGTGTTGTGCGCCGCAGGCGGCCGGCTGTACACCGTGTTCAGCGCGCCCAACTACCCTCAGTTTGGGGCGCAGTGCAGCAACCCGGCGGCTGTGGCGGTGCTGAGCGCGCCAGGCTACGACCAGCCGCGCTTTGTGCAGTATGACGCAGTGCCGCGCCCAAAGGTGCGAGCCCTGTGCTATGGCGGTGTGCAGGGGTCGGCGACCGCTTGGCAGGGGTGCTTCCGGGGCCCATCTCGGGGCGCCTCCATACGGCCTCTGGATTGCTGCTGCCAGGAGGAGGGCACTGAGCCCACTGCCCTCGCATCGCACACCCAGGCACCATCGCTGCTGCTTGCTGCTGCAGGCCACCCCCTTTTACAGCATCGAAACCGAGGATGAGGAGGTGGCGGAGCAGGATGGCGCGGGAGATGTAGCAGCGGCGGGAGGAGTGGGCGGTGTCCCCAAGGAGCGCAGCCAGGAGGGGAGCAGCCATGAGGAGGAGGATGGTATCGGCAGCAAGGGAGGAGGGCAGGGAGGAGGGGAGGGCAGCCCAGGAGGCTTGGGTGAGCCGCACAGCTCTGGGGACGTGGGCAGCAATAGTGTGCAGGAAGTGCAGACCGGGGACGGCGGCGGCAGCAGCCCTGCTACGGCGCCCAGCAGCAGGCGCAGCGAGGAGGTGGCGCAGGCGGGCGGCGGGCACGGCAGCCTGCCAGCACCGCTGCTGGATGCTCGCGTCAGCGGTGGCAGCGAGCTAGCAGAGCAGCTGGGTGGCGCCGAGTGTGGGGAGGAGGAGGAGGCGGAGCCGCCAGCCAAGCGGCAGAGGCAAGGGGACAGCCCAGATGGAGACGCAGGCGGGCTGCCGGCTGAGAGCATGCCAGCGGTACCAGGGGAAGTGCAGCCACTCTAGTGCTGCCCATTCTTTCATACCTAGCAAATGTGTCCCGCTGCTACGTTTTAACGACCGATTCGTGCTCTCGAATTTGTCATCAACAGTGGACATCCAGGAGATATGTGCTTCTGAAGCAGACAGATAGCAGTGGACGAGGTGGCGCCAGGCTGGGTGTGAATTGCTGCGTGTGCCTTTCCTTCCGCTCCCCCGTCACCCGCGCTTGTTTATCAAGGTGTAACATGCATCCACGGAGCCGGCGAAGCTAGGTGCCCGCCAATGCGGTAGACGGCGCCAGCGCTAGGATGCAAAGCACGGCTGTGCAGACGCTGCTGCCATCGCAGCCAGGTTACTGAATCACGCATGCAAGGACGAGGGGGATCGTATACAAATCACAATTCTGGCAGGGGCAAGGGACAAACTTGGGACTGTGCTGCTACTGGGCTTGCAAACCGTCGGTGCAAGTCAGCATGCAGGGACTAGACCAAAGCCTGCATCAACTTTCCTGGCTATATGTGCTGCCTGCGTTGGAAATGCACTCCGAGGAAGATCGCTGCGCTGAGGGCTGCTGGCTGCTGCGTTTCGGCTGTGGCCTCTAGCTGCTGCGTCTGCGACCATCTGCCCCAGGTATAGCTACATACATCGGGCTACTCCTTCCTGCTCTTCTGGTGCTGTGTTCTCCTCGGGGAGGGTGCTCAGGCCGCCGGCATGCTGGGCACAGGGGTGGGCAGGGAGCTGGCGCGCTCCAGCCCGCCCACCGCGACCTGCGCGTAGCTGGCGCCAGCTGGCGCCGCCAGCGCATCCTCCAGCAGCGCGTCCAGGCCGGTGCTCATCTGGCGCACCGCCGGCTGGCGCGGCGCCAGCCTGCCCTCAAACACATCCCACCTGCCAAAGAGGAGGAGGCACACATGCGTCTGCGGCGAGCAGGGTGTTGGGAGGGAGCTCCAGCACGTGCGGAAGCATGCCAGCCTTGCTGAGCTGCCAGCTGGCCAGCCCCAAGTAGAGGGAGCCAAGCATGAGGAGCGCAGCACAGCACACTCAGGCTGGTGTGCCGCACCAGTAGTCGCACTCCTCCTTGTACCGCAGGTTCTCCTCGCTGTACCGCTGGCTCCACGGCTTCTCGTCCACGTAGTGGATGGCGAAGATGTTGGGCAGGTCCCACAGGTCTGGGTGGTGGTGCTTGATGCGCTTCTGCGGGGGTGGTGGCACGAGGCAGGGATACAGAGTGGGCGGGCTGGCATGCCGCCAGTGACCCACGGCTGGCAGCCAGTGACCCACGGCTGGCAGCGCGCAGCGCGAGCACCCCTGGTGCACACACATGCCTCGCCTGCGCGTTGTAGCTCCAGGGCAGGTGCTTCCAGCGGCCCTGCAGCAGGCAGCGGGGGCGGCATGCCGCACAGCGACGAGCGTGCGAGGGTCAGCGGGTTGCCAGGCTCCCCTTCAGGCACCCTGCCATGCGAGGCAGACCCCCCACCCACACAGGCAGACACACACACACCGCGAAGTATCCGTTGAGGAAGTCCTGCTCGGCAAAGAAGCGTACCACCACGCGCCCCTCGCGCAGTGCGGCATGCATGCCCTCCAGCTCCGACAGGCTGCAGGGGGTGGGAGGCAGGCATGTTGGGGTGGGGTTGCCTGAGTGAGTGCGTGTGTGTGCGCGCCTGTGGGATGGGTGCGGCGGGCGGGCATGCACCATTGGCGTCCCAGCCACGATGCCAGGCAGGCCCAGCACTGGTAGCAGTACAGCAGTATGGCAGTACAGCGGTATCGAGGGAGCTGATGCACGCCTGGGGCTCATCACGTAGAATCCGGCATTGAAGTACTGAGGAGTGGCCTCCGGGGTGAAGTGGCAGCAAGAGCAACGCTCCTCCTCTGCACAGGCAGGCAGGGCAGGGCACGCGTCGCCGCCAGCGGAGTGAGCAGGCTGGGGCTCGAGCCTGGCCTGCCGGCAGCGCTGTGGGCCTCGGCTGCTGCATTGCGTGCAGCTTGCACGGGCATGGGCATGGGCACATGGGTCGCTCGCCGATGGATGCGGGCAGGCAGGCGGGCAGGTGCGGCTGCACCTCTATGCCCCCGCGCCAGCTGGCAGCTGCCACCGCTGGCTCGCTGGCTGGCTGACGCACCATACTCACGCCCCTGGCAGGCGCTGCGCCCTCAGCCGGTGTGTTGTGGCAGCAACGCAGCGCTGCGAGCACGCAGCGCACACACGCGCGCGTGCATGCAGGCACGGTGACGCTGCCAGCGGCAGGCCAGCCCGCCAGCCAGGCAGCTGGTTTGGCGCGCCGCTCCGGCATGGAGCAGGCTGCCACTCCAGGGGTTGGCTGTCGAAGCGCCTCACCTGTCTCGCGCCCGCCGTAGCAGTCGCCCACGGCATAGAAGCCGGGCGGCAGGGCAAACAGGTGGTCGATGTTTCTCAGCAGAATCATGTCAGCATCCAAGTAGGCCAGCCTGCAGCAGGTAGGCAGGCGGGAGGAGGGCAAGGCAGCAGCCAGGTGGGCAGTGCACAGCCTCAATTTACGGGGCGATGCGGCCGGCACGACAGGCAGGCAGGCAGGCAGGCGGGCAGGCAGGCAGGCGGGCATCAGGCTTGCCTGTCGAACTGCGTCATCTCCCACATGCGCAGCTTGCTCCTGTGTTGCGGCGCGAGGCAGAAGGAGGTGGAAGCGCGGCGCAGGCATCGGTTTGGAGCATGTAGGCGTTAAGTGTGACATGCAGAGCCCCTGCAGAAGAGCCCCGCCTTGCGTGCAGGCCGGGAGCATCAACACCAAGTGCCCCCATGGCCAGCTGTTCAGCCTGCCCCCTGCCGGCTTGTCATCTGCCTGGCGGTGAGCACGCTGAAACTGGTGAGGTGTTGGCGCTGGCGGTGGGGCCCACGGATGATGCCGGCCGGCATCTCACCATCTGTCAAGAGCCACTGGTGGCGGCTGCCTGGCAGCTGCCACTCACCAGCACTCCAGGTACAGGCTGCGCTTGTACTCAGAATGGTCGACTGTGGGGCAGGGCAGGGGTGGGGCAGAGGGCAGGGAGCGCTGTGGGCACCACATGCGCAGGCAGTGGAGGTATCGGCAGGGGCTGCATTCCCGGCGTGCTGCAGCAGGGAGGTCGCAACGAGGCGTGGGCAGGCGAGGCGCCAGGTCGCAGCTGCCTCTGCCCCAGGCTCACCTCCCTCGGCCTCAAACTGCTCCGTCGGCTGCAGCCGCATGCCCTCCTTGGCCAGAGCTTCCAGCACGCCCTGGCTGCAGGCAGCAGAGGCAGCGGAAAGAAGGCATGTGGTAACATCAGCGCCAGCTCAGCAGTCAACCCCCACTGCTGCCAGAATGGATCACGGCCAGCCACCATCCGCTCTGCTAGAGCATAAAACCATCGCCTGCCACGCCCCTCACCTGACGCCGTGGGTGTGCATGACGATGAGCGGGTGGCGGCACGCCACCAGGCGCAGCGAGCGATAGAGCGCCTGGACGCCCGGCAGGTAGGCATCCCTGCGGGCCAAGCCCAGGGGGAGGCGCAGGTCAGGCCTCCTGAAGGGCAGCAACAGTGCGCTCCTGGAGGGCACCCTGGCAGGCAGGAGCTTGGCACAGATGGGCGATGCAAGCAGGGTGAGTCGGAAGTAGGAGGGTGAATGCATGCACAGCAGCCTCCGGACGGCCTTCGGCCTGCCCAGCCCTGGCCTGCATCTTGCCCTTGGGGGAGCAAGGACCTCACTTCGTTAGCAGGGTGACGTAAGCAAACCGCCGTCGCTTTGGGGGGTCTGCTGCTGCTGGGGAGGCGGTGGCGGGTGGGGCTGACACCGGCGCTGCCTTGGGGTGCGGGCTCACCGGGTGGAGGGGCGCCTTACTGCGCAGCCACACCGAGGGAGACATGCTGCAGCTGCAGAGCATGCAGGGATCTTAGGGCTCAGACCAGCGCATTCCGCTTGCAGAACAGTGTTCCGGGCAGTCGCCGCCACCAGCCTTGGACAGGCATGTGTTGCCCGCTGATGTGGCACCTCCCCCGATTCGTCTGGCTCATCAGGCACGCTCTCTCCCGCGATCCCTCCCTTTCCTTCGCCTTTCAAAGTCTCTAAGGCTTCTATTTCTCCCCTCCCGCACCCCGCAGCTGCCGCAAATTTAAAATTATGAACCAACCTGTCATCCTTTATGCCTTAGAACGGCGCCAAAACGGCGCCAAGAATGTGTTTCTCACTAAGTCAGATGTAGAGGGCATCATCCGGATCAAGCAGGGCGACCAGCAGGCGCCCTCAGGCCGGCGGCGGCGGGGTGCGGGAGGGGGGGCGGCAGTGCAGGGCGGCACCAAGAACTACAGCAAGAAGGTGCTGCAGTTCTTCCAGGTGCTGAAGGGCGCTGGCGGTCAGGACATCCTGTGCCGCTGCGTCAAGCGCAGCGGAGAGTGGCGGTGGTGCCCCGTGGTGCCGCTCGAGGAGCTGCCCCGAGTGATCAAGGAGCACCACGAGCGGGCGACTGGCTTCAGCGGTGTGGAGAAGCTGTACACACATGTGAGTGATACAAGGGGTGCAATGCTGCCGCCAGACCAACTGGAGAGTGCTCTGCATCAGGCAGCAACCGGATGCATCGCAGCAAGCACGGGGGGTGCGGCACGGCCAAGGTGGCGCTGCCCTCCTCTCCATCTATCCCTCCTTCCCTCCCTCACGCCGCGCACTCCCCTGGTCCTCCTTTGCTGCTCTGCTGCCTTTCCTGCAGCTGGCCTACAACGCACCCACCGAGCTGGCAGCTGGTGCTGACGGCAAG